TGGGGAACCTTGGCTTCCTCCATCACTGGAGCAAGCAAGCCTCCTGCTTGCTTCAGCTGCATGGCTGCTGGCCGCCATCTTTGTTGGCAGTTAACTTGCATATTGCCCCGATTAGCTAATGGGAAGCATAGCGGAGGTATGGTTAATTACCCTTTTTGTCTTTTATAAGATAGGATGCCTACCTCATTCTCTTCAAATGCCTGCGACCTTGCTTCTTGGAAACACAGAAGAGCTGTGTTACGGTGGCGTGCACCTGGTCTACGGATGCAGGACACAGAGTGCACCTTTGGTGCCTAAACATCTGGCAAAGTACAAGACTGGGTAACAGAAGTTCTAGTAGCAAAGATGGTGGCCCCCCACTCCTGTGAGCCCGGGACCCCGTTCCCTGCCACCCCGACAGATGACAGATTTGTAGGTTAGGTGTCACACTGGGAGGGGGATAAATCTGTGCTGGGGGTCCTTTGCAAGCACTTAAATCTTAGCCCCAATATCCGCTTCTGGGCAGGTGTGAGGCGCGGCATCACACAACGGTCCTCTTAGCTGCGCTCGCTCTCAGCTCTGCGACTGCTCAGTAATTAAATCACCAAGCAGCTGCTGGCCAGGGAACAGCATGTGTAAAGGCCCAGAAGCAGCAAAAGCAAAGGGGAGTGGGAAAATGGGAGACGTTCAGAGTGGCTGGAAGTGGGGGAGCAGAGAGATGTCAGAGTAGAAGAATAAGCAGGACCCAGACAGGAAAAGCCTGGGGAAGGCGTGTTTACTTCCACCGAAGGCCGGCAGGAAGTCACTGAAAGGCCTCCACGGGGAGTGCGGGGGTCAGGTGTGTGCGTTAGAAATCTCGTCTCCATTATGGTGCAGATAATGGATGGAGAGGAAGGAGAGGAGGCAAGACCTGGGAAGGAAGGGCACTTAGGAGGCTGCTGCCATAGCCAGACAAGAGAAGCTGGCGGCGGACGGCAGTAGCAGCAGTGGGGTGGGCAGGAGTGGACGGGTTCAGTAAATAATCGGGAGATAAAATCATCAGGACTGCGGCCGGAGACCACCTATCGTCTTCACTAGCAGAGAAGCGTAGAGACCCCCAAAGCTAGTGACCTTGGAAGCCCTAGCTAAGGTCGGCGCTGTGCACCACCCAGTTAATCTAGGGACCACTCAATTAATCTAGATAATGGTAGCTGAAGCAACCTCCCTACCTTTAAGCATGTAAATCCTTATTGATAAGATAGTCTGCCTATTACTGGAAATTGCCTGTGGGTGAGCTCATCTGTGTGTCATTGAAACCTCCTTACCCTAGGGCTACCCCAGATCAAATAAAAGGTTGGAGCGGCCTGAGCATCAGTGGAAGTCCCTCTCCTTGAGTTGGACTTTTCCGCCTGGCTCCCCAACATTTCCAAATTGTCTCGTCTCTTTTCTCTCATTTGTGTGCGGCTCCTCTTCCAGACCCCGAACCCTGAACCATGCGGAACGTGGAGGGAAAACACACTCGACAGACCGCCCTGGCTGGTTCAGCTCAGTGGATAGAGCATCGGCCTGCGGACTGAAGGGTCGGGGGTTTGATTCCGGTCAAGGGAACATGCCCGGGTTGTGGGCTCGATCCCCAATAGGGGGCATGCAAGAGGCAGCTGATCAATGATTCTCTCTCATCATTGATGTTTCTGTCTCTCTCTCCCTCTCCATTCCTCTCTGAAATAAATAAAAATATATTTTAAAAGACAATAACATAAAATGAAATCATCAGGACTTGGCAGCAGACCACACGGGGAGCATGAGAGAGGGGAGTCGGCGACGATCTCCAGGTTTCTGGCCTGGTCAGCTGGGTGGCGGTGCTACCACGCACGGAGAGACACGCGAGTAGGGTTCAGGGGGATGTGATTCCGGTTGGAACACGCTGTATCTGAGATGCCCACAGAGCATCCAGGGAGAGAAGCCCAGAAGGGAACGGACAGGTCTGAACGGGAGACCTAAATGCTTGTCAGCATGAATGGCAATGTGATCATCACTATACAGACCAGAACTGAAACCACGGGAAATAATAAAACGATGCAGGGGAGCCCTAGCAGGCTGGGCTCAGTGGACAGAGCGCTGGCCCCCGGACTGAGGGTCCCGGGTTCGATTCCGGTCAAGGACATGCACCTCAATCCTGGCTCCTCCCCAGCTCTGGTCAGGGCTCGTGTGGGAGACAATCGATGTGTCTCGCTCACACTGATGTCTCTCTCTCTGTCTCTTCCCCTCCCTTCTACTCTCTCTAAAAATCAATGGGAAAAAATACCCTTGGGTGAGGATTAGCGACAACAAATTCAGGGAAAATGTGTAAGATTAGGGCAAGAGTATTAGCGACAACAAATTCAGGGAAAATGTGTAAGGTTAGGGCAAGAGTTTTTTGTGTTTTTTTTTAATTGTACCCTTCAGTCCGCAGGCCGACGCTCTACCCCCCTGAGCCACACTGGCCAGGGCAGGGCAAGAGTCTTTCTTTTTTTTAATATATTTTATTGCTTTTTACAGAGAGGAAGGGAGAGAGATAGAGTTAGAAACATCGATGGGAGAGAAACATCAATCAGCTGCCTCCTGCACACTCCCTACTCCCACACCGGCCAGGGCAGGGCAAGAGTCTTAATACCTTACTAGATTATTATAGCTGACTCTCACGGCTTACAGAGGGCACCCCAAGTCAGGCAATGTGGGTGTCGTGGAATACAAGTAGAACACAAATTTGTCCCGACAGGGAAAGCGACCCCCAAAGACCCAAACATCACCCGCGGCACAGAGGTCTAAGAACTCATCACAGTCTCCCAGCACCGAGCATGTCAATCCCGGTGCCGCGTGCTCACCTGTCGACAAGGCGTCCTCCCGCGCCTCGTCCTCGCCGGGCTGAGGAATATTCCAGGATGTTTTGGGAAGCGAAGCGATCTCCTCGGGCGACGCCAACCTCACCATGTCCATGTGGTTGCTCTGGAACCGGTACCGGGGGATAAAGCAGGTCTTGCCGCGGCGGAAGATGTCCTTGATGATCTCGTCGGTCTCGATTTCGTCCTGCATGCTCAGGAAGATGGAGATTCGCTGGGACTTCTGGTACTGACTGTGGGCGATCACCTGCATGGGAAACGCAGGCCATGGTATTTGCCAAGATTACACTTTTAAAAATCAGTGACTCCCCTTAACAGCTTCAACATTTTCTCCCATGTTCAACTTCCTTCTTTTTTTTAAATATATTTTATTGATTTTTTACAGAGAGGAAGGGAGAGGGATATCGAGCCAGAAACATTGATGAGAGAGAAACATCGATCAGCTGCCTCCTGCACACCTCCTACTGGGGATGTGCCCGCAACCAAGGTACATGCCCTTGACCGAATCGAACTCGGGAGAGGACATGTACCTCCATATTCACTTTAATTGTTCATCGAGCAGGAAAAGGGGGCTGAGCTCTGCTTCACGGAAAAGTTAATCTCAGGCCCTGACCGGTGTGGCTCAGTGGATAGAGCGTCGGCCTGCGGACTGAAGGGTCCCGGGTTCGATTCCGGTCAAGGGCATGGACCTGGGTTGCAGGCACATCCCCAGTGGGGGGCGTGCAGGAGGCAGCTGATCGATGTTTCTAACTCTCTATCTCTCTCCCTTCCTCTCTGTAAAAAAAAATCAATAAAATATATTTTTAAAAAGTTAATCTCAGAACTTCCCCAGACTCAGAGGTAGCTCTTAGCTCCCTTTCTTTCCCTCCCTTTTCTGTTCCCCCTTGTTCTGCAAGCTAAGGAGAAAAAGACACCGCAAACGTGGCTTACAGGGATGACTGGTAGCAAGACACGGGTTCACAAAGGCAAGTTTTCCTGACAAAAGGGGGCCACACAGAAGTTAAATAAGCAGAGCACCCCGAACCACGGCTAAGGAAGGAAATCAACTCCACCGTCTGAGAAGCTACAAAGCGTTTAGCTGAAACAGGCAAAGCAACCGTAAGAGAAATTCAGACCTAGGACGGCAGACTGGGAGGTTATGCATCTTTGTGCTCTTAAAGGCAAATGTAGAAAATCAAGAGCTGAATACGTAGTCATGAACATCAGTTAAGGTTCAGTGTGAGAGCTGGCTGGTGTGGCTCAGTGGATAGAGAGTCAGCCTGCAGACTGAAGGATCCCGGGTTCTGCAGACTGAAGGGTCCCGGGTTCGATTCCTGGTCAGGGCACATGCCTGGGTTGCGGGCTCGATCCCCAGTAGAGGGCGTGTAGGATGCAGCTGGCCTATGATTTGCTCTCATCATTGATGTTTCTCTCTCGTTCCCTCTCCCTTCCTCTCTGAAATCATAAGAGTACATTTTTTTAAAAAAGAAATTCTTATGGCCTATCTAATTCCAGGGGACATCCAGGAAAAGAACACCCCTGCTAGTCTCTCAGCATGGCACTGGTGTCTCCGTCAGACAGGGTGTTCGGGCAGTCACACCACTGCTTTACCTGAAAACAAACCTACTGAACTATGAATGTTGCCAGGTGGGTTCTAGACTTACGGGGTGAGCCCTTCACAGGTTATATAACGTCTATATAAGCTGTGTTGTACACCTGCAACGAATATAATAAACTAGTGGCCCAGTGCACGAATTCGTGCTCACTGAAAGAGTAATTAGAAGAAATATTTCAATACTAGAGGCCCAGTGCACGAAAATTTGTGCACTCATGGGGGTCCCTCAGTCCAGCCTGCGCCCTCTCGTAGTAGGGGACCACTCGGGGGGGATGTCCACCTGCTGGCTTAGGCCCACTCCCCAGAGAATCGAGACTAAGCTGGCAGTCAGACATCCCTCTGGCAGCCTGGGAGCCCTCCTCCTTAGCGCTGCAGAGGAGGCGGGAGAGGCTCCTACCATTGCCGCTGGATTTTTTGCTTTGAGTTGCGAGCTAAAATTCAAGTTACGAGCAGCTTCAGATACCCCACCGCTAGCTGGCGCAGCGCACGTCACCGTGAACGCCACACATCAGCCCAGCATCACACATCTCACTCGTTCACTTTTGATTTGACATACGAGTAATTTGAGTTACAAGCTCTATCACAGAACGAATTAAACTCGTAAGTCAAGGCCCCACTGTATAGGATTGCTATTCGCCCTTTATAATAGAAGCGTCAACCAAATTCACAATCAACAATGACAGATGGAAACACGCACGTGTGGTTGGTGCCAGCGAGCTTTATGTGTATTGCACATGCGTGAGTGGACAGAGCCTCTTATAGATATAAACTTGCTTAATTTGACCTGCTTTCTGATGTAGCTAAACTTTTTCCAGCCCAGTGAAGCAGCCCAACTTCTCTTATAGGTAACTGTTAGCAACACAGCAGTAAAAACCAACATGAAGCAGATTATTATTGTAGATCACGCAGGGGGAACAAAGGGTGAAATATTTCACTGCAGCCGCGTTTGACTATAATCTGCGCACTGAGAAAACCTGAAGTCATTTTCAAGGTCCACCATTTCTTGCTTCTTTTCAGTTGGGTCATGTTTCTCAGCTTTCTAAATCTCTGTTTTCCAGCTAATGAAAAGAAAATAGGATTCCACCGAGTCTCCTATCTACCTTTCCAGGACTTCCGTGAGGATCACATGAGAGGCAGGGAAAGCACCTCACAGACATTTGGTTAAAGTGTGAAATGTGTGCACCTGGCTATGAAGCAAGTCAGCTTCCTGGGTTTACAAAACTGCAAGGAGGCTAGTCGCTAGGGAGGGGAAGCCGAGTATTGCTACGTGATGTCATTACCCGGACGGACACTTAGCATATTAGCCTTCTATATATATAGATGGTCTGTCGCTAGGGAGGGGAAGCCGGGCGTTGCTACGTGATGTCATTACCTGGACAGACACTTAATATATTAGCCTTTTATATATATAGATGGTCTGTTGCTAGGGAGGGGAAGCCGAGTGTTGCTACGTGATGTCATTACCTGGACACTTAGCATATTAGCCTTCTATATATATAGATGGTCTGTCGCTAGGGAGGGGAAGCCGGGCGTTGCTACGTGATGTCATTACCTGGACACTTAGCATATTAGCCTTTTATATACAGTGGGGCCTTGACTTATGAGTGTCCCAACTAACGAGTTTTTTGAGATACCAGCTGTCTCTCGGCCAATTTTCTGCATTGAGTTGATAGAGTAATTTGAGTTAACGAGCTCCTTAACGAGCTCGGTCTCGGAAGGAATTAAACTCGTAAGTCAAGGCCCCACTGTATTACAATATTCAAGGGACTATTGGAGTTGTTTGTAAAATAGTGCATGTGATCTAATAACAAAAGTGGTTGATTCTGTGTCACAAGTGCTTCAGGGTTTTAACTTCATTTGTGTTTTGCAGAAGACTCAAATAGCTTGTGTTAAAATTCTTATATACTACAAACGAGGTTTATGTCTAGAAAATCAATTTGAAAACAAATTCTCCTTCTTGCTCATTATAAAATTTTCTCCTTTTTATCTTTTCAGTCTTTCCAGTATTCTGTTTTTACCTTTTATTGTTTTTAAGCTCAATTGTTCTCTGCAGTGTCATTTTTGCCTACCTTCCCTTTTCCTTGTTGACTTTTCTTGTGTCAGTCCCAAGCCCCCACAGCCACCGTTTCCAGGCTGACCATGGGGGGCGGTGGCAGGGCCTGCGTCCCACTCGGGGGAGGCCGCGTGTTGCTTTGTGGGTGCCAGGTCCGTGCTGCCATTTCTCTGTACATGGCCAGTGCGTGTCGCGGCAGCTCCTGCGTGGAGCGTCTGCCCCCTGGTGGTCAGTGCGCATCATAGTGACCGGCTGGTCGGTCGGACACTTAGCATATTAGCATTTTATATCTATAGATCGTGGCAGCTGTGGTTGAAGAAATACATTTTTTTTTAAATTGCTAATATCTGCTCTGGCCAGTGTGGCTCGGTGGATAGAGCGTCGGCCTGCGGACGGAAGGGTCCCGGGTTCGATTCCCGGTCAGGGCACAGGCCCGGGTTGCGGGTTCGATCCTCAGTGTGGGGCGTGCAGGAGGCGGCCGATCCATGATTCTCTCTCATCATGGATGTTTCTCTCTCTCTCCCTCTCCCTTCCTCTCTAAAATGAATAAAAATATATTCTTTAAAAAGTTACTAATATTTACGTGTTGGCGGGAGGTGGATTTTTCCCTGGTGTCCCCCCAACACCAGCCCCCAACGCCCTCAGAACGCGACTTCCTGGCCGACCAACCAACCCCCGACCAGTCAACACCCTGAAACACGGGATGTCCCCCCAAAACGCATCTGCACGTCTAAGGCGGCTCCCTGAGTGCTTCTTTTCATACGTAAACCCCCTTGGAATTAGTGAGTACTCAACTGTGTGTGTGTCCATTTCAGGGGGACACCCTGTCTGTCTGTCAGGAGGCCACGGTGAGAGGAACCAAGGGAACGTGTGGAACCCCCAGACGGGGCACCCCGCTCACCCCCGCCTGGCTCCCCACTGTGCTTCCCACCATTGTGGGCGGCGGGAGAATCCATGTTTTCTCTCATTAACCCGGAAAAGCACGTCCTGTCACCGCGGCCCGGACTAGCACTAGGCCCGGGCAGCCTTAGGTCAGGGGAGCCTGCACCCCGACTCTCCCGCCCTTTGGCTAAGAAGAGGGACCTCCTCACCTGGGGTTGCCGACCTCGAACGCCAACCGACCCACCGAAGGCACCTCAGCGAGGGCCGCCCCTCGCCCCCCAGGGGTGTCTGTGCGCACCTGCTCCCGCCTCAGCACCAGCGTTGGCCCCACGGAGGCCATCTCGTCGCCGCACCGGCCTCCGCGGGAACAGGGCGCCGCCGCTCCGCCCTCTCACCGCCATCCTCACAGCCGCCTTCCCTCGGGGCCTCGCGCCTTCCAGCGCCCAGACACGCTCTGAACGACGTGAGCGTGCCGGAGGGGACGTACGCACGCACGCATGCACGCACGCACGCACGTCGTGGGT